TGGGCCCACTTAGTACCTTGGGGGAGTGCCAGTTTTTTTTGGGGGCCCAGCTAAGAAAACAGAAAGGCAAACCCAAGATTCACTTATGTCAGTCTTTTAACACTCACCATATAGGCAGTGATGTTGACACCAAGTTTATGGCTTTGGGGGATGGCCCAAGTGGTTGAGGAAAATATCGAAAATTTCATGTGCAAACTCTTCAGATGCTTTTTAACCTATGCCCAAAAGTAAGAGAAAAAATTTGGAGCGGAATAATTTAAAGACACATGTCAAATCTGGTATCTTTATTGTAGACGTTTCCCCATCCAGTGGCTTTATCAATACAAATTCTGGACATAGCTTGAAGACAGTGGGCTATATAAGAAGATGGGGAAATTTAGTCCCTCACCTGGGAGTAGGTGCGAAGAGCCCATTGTCGGTATTGTATACCATTTTTGCAAAAACGTGTAATAAAGTGTTCGGCTGGCTGGCTGACTCTATTCCTGTTTTGTATCATGTTGTTTTCCCTTTTTTATCTGTCTATCTCTTTCCATTCTGTCTCACAGGTACACATAAATACAATTATACTAGTTAAATTACTAGGTAACTTAAAAAAATCCAATGTGCTATACTGTGCTTGTAATATAAAGCTTAAAAATGCCTGTTGGTTTTTAAAAGGGCCTTTTTAGACAGAGAGAGCAAGCAGAGATGGATGAGAGACAAAAAGAGAGAAGATAAGCAGAGGGCGAGATGTCGCACTGTCAAATGTCATCCCTTATCTTATCACTGCACCCTCACCCTTGCCCCCAAAATTTACCCCCCTTTTCTCATCCTGCACCCTCCCTTATGCCATCAAATGTCACCACTTCTCACTGCACCTCCTCCTTTTTCTTCCTTCTTTTTTCCTTCCCTTTTTTTGCCTTCCCTTTTTCTTTTCCTTCCTTTTCCCCCCTTTTGTTCCTTCTTCTTTTCCCTTTCCCTTCTTCTTTGCCCTTTCCCTTTTTCTTTGCCTTCCCTTTTTCTTTGCCTTCCTTCTTCTTTGCCTTCCTTCTTCTTTGCTTCCTTCTTCTTTGCTTCCTTCTTCTTTTCTTTTTTTCCCTTTTTTGTCTTTTTTCCCCTTCTTTTTTTTCCTTCTTTCTTTTATTATTATATACTCCCCCTATCCAAAACATTTCTGGGACCTTTTAAAAACTTTTTATATATTCAGACAAAGAAATGGGCCCAAAGGGAGGTTAAATGTCCCCATGTCAGTGTGTTTTTGACAAATTGGTACAATTTTCTGCCTAAATTTGTGTCAAACAAAGTAAGTTACGAAATGACAGGAAAAATACTATATATTGTATTATCGAACATAAAAATTTTATAAAATTTTATTTAAAAAAAAGAGAAAAAAAAAGGTTTCGGTAAAACTTCTGCAGGGCATTTTCTCGTGTTGCTGTCAGGGGAGCTTAAGAGCCTTTCGTACCTCATATCTCGGTAAGTGCTACCCTATTTTTTCCCTTTTATCCCATAACCTTAGAAAATTTTTCTCTATTTTATATAAAAAAAATTATTTTAAAATATTTGGGGCACTGGGTGAGAGAATGTATATATAAGTTCATAAACAAAGCCAGACTGGCTCATGACGCCTGCACAGGGACATGGGCAGGTGGACAGGTCTGGTACATGGTTCGAAACATGGGGCATGTTTGATACTCGGGACAAAATTGGTGCAAACAAAAGCAGTTGAAACTCTAAGTGTTCGATAGTCGATGCATTCAAAACTCGGGGTTCCACTATTTAGCAATTCAATAAAAAATTTTAATTAGTGTTATATTAACCCTTTAACTGTCGAGAGCCCTGCTCACAAACTTGCTCTCAGTGTTGAAGAATAAAAAAAAAAAATTTTTTTCTTGTGAAATCAGAGAATTTTTCCAATGGTAATGACACCAAAGTACGAAATTTGATGGAAAACTCGTGGAAATGCGCTCTCATGATGTTAGCAGTCTCGTCAGTATATATGCATCGGCCATTTTGCCCACTTTGAGCCCTATTTTTTGGCGAATTCCACTGTTCCATTCGACCAAACTCATAGCTATGCCACTAGAACTCCAATTGTTCTATCGATTGAGTACAAGTAGCTGCTCATTTACTGATTTCAACTACCCAGTAAAGTAGTCAAAAATTGGCAATTTGGCTTAATTTCACACAAATTTCAAAAGATGCCAATTTCAAAATAGGGTCCAGAATAAACAATGCAGACATTCCTGGGACTAAAATAATATTTTCTCTGTTCATTAGGCACATCTCCAGGCCCCTCTTATAATTAATCTTACTTTCCATTTTGAATTTTTATTCACACAAAAAAATAGATGATTTAATGTTATGCAGAGTACTGCATATTGTAATAATTGTATAAATAATGCCAACCCATTCATGACTGTGTATTAGACTGGCCAGTTGGACATGTATTGGACGGTGATGTAATTTGTTTACTCTTGAGCATTGTCAAAAATCGAACATTTCCACTACTTTGAGCTCAATTTCAAGGTACTTTTCATCATGAAGCAAATCAAATGATCTCTCTTTCTGTAATATATCCTCCATTCTATCAGAGACCTAGAAAACGAGAATACAACCATAATACCATACGAAAATACACCTCAAATTTGGCGTTTTATACCAAAAACACAGGTGAATTTTTTTTTCATGAACTGCGTGCTGCAGGATTTTTTTTTTATACTGCGGACATGGGAGACCAATTGTCTCGCATGTAGGTCTACCAGCTTTCTCCTGCTAGAATTGAAGCTGCTAGAATTAGCCTCTGCGCTCATCCAAACATTTTACAATAATTCATTGTCTTCGGTGATTGTTGATTGAGGTGCGGCTGCTACATAATTAACCATGGGCTCAAAGAAACTTGCTGGTGCCAGCCCTTTGGTAAAGAAATTGAAAACACAATGGAATTGAAGAAAGAAATTTTTAAAAAAATATGAGGCAGTGTGCGCAGGGGTTGAGGCATTGATATTTAAAAACATACATGTTTTAAAACCCATAACTGTAATGTATATAGTACAATATTTTTGATTCATGTATTTTATGATTGTGGTTCAGTAGGTTAAGGAAGAAGTATTTATTATTTTTCTACAAATATTGGGGGCACCAAACATTCAGTTTTTTTCAACATTCGGGTTCTTGATCCAACCCTCACAAATTTGAGGGAGACCGATTTTTTCTTTTTTTTACAGAGCATAATTTTGTAAGGATGAATGGATGAAAAAGGGTAATTCCAGCTCACGAGTTATAAACCAAACAGTAACATAGGTCTTCAATGAAACCACCTGGAATTATTCTCTGCCCAATACTAAAAAGGAGTGGCAGGTTGTCATGGTAAAAATCTCCATAAAACTTTATGTCACACTTGTAGAAATGAGCTTACACTTGAGGTAAGTAATAGTAAGGCTGAAAATCTAGCAATACAGATGACCCCCGCATAACGATGCATCACATAGCGATAATCGCCATTCACAACCGCTTAGTTTAATTCAAAAAAATTTTGCTCACACGCTTAAAACCCGTTACGAATTTTCCGGTCCGAACGCGAATGTGGGCCTGAGACGCTCACATGATTCTTCGCGTATGCATGGCATTTGCCTTTACCTATTGCAATCCACGTTCCTTGACAAACTCATATTGCCACTAAATCGGAATAGTTATCGTATTATTACAGTGTTTTCATTACTGATTTCCTGTGTATAAAAATTGCAATTGGCACCCAAATTCAAAGACATTTCATAGTGCCAACCTACAGCAA